ATATAGTCAACCACAAAAATAAAATAGTACAATAAGTAGGGGAGACTAGAGCAATGTTTCATGTTTAAAACATTTTTTTATGAACAATAATAATAGTGATGCATGCTTTTGCAATCTAATATTAGATTTCAAATACACTGGTGAAGAACATACTCTCACACAGACTAGATATTTTCATATTTCAAACAAATGTATTCTTTTATAGGTTTCAATAATTGTGACAGCTTGCCCCATACTCAACAAACTTTCATCCCCCCCCCGGACAATAGCACTGGTGCAATTCCTGCATTCATGTTTTTTTTTGTGGCTAAGACCTTCACGTATCTGCCCATATTTAAAAAATATTAAAGAATTGAAAGAATAAAAAGACTATGCACAGAAATACTGACAACATGCCCTGCTCTCCTTTACAAATGTATTTCTTTTACATAGCTGCATGCAAAACCATAAACTGACGGATCATCATGGTGCTATGCTGATTAGCAAACACAAAAATGCAAATGTGTTTCTACACTTCAATAAAGCCGCACAAGAAAAGGAGCAGAAAGGGGTTTTGAGAGTAAAGGGGAGCATTTCATAACCACAGCGACCTTTTCACAGCTGTATTTCATTAATATTTAATAACAATTCCCCAAAGCCACTAAAAACCAGGACCGAAGACCATGCAAATCCACAAGACGTGTAGAGCGGGACAGCTGTGGGTATTCACGTGTGTGACTGATAGAGTGTGAGAGAGACCCTTCTTTTCCAGGTCCAAATGGACTTTTATTGATTTTTTTTCTGCAGACTTGAAGCTTCACTCATGATGACGTCATGTGAACCGGGGGGCAGAAAGTGAAGATGATAAAAGAGTGCATTTCTTGCCTTGCAACAGAAAGATACTAGCAGGTGCACAGATGACTTTCCTTCAGCCAAAATAGATGTTTTGAACTTTTTTTCCCCCCCCATGACAATATATAGTGACCACATCTGTCAAGTTACATAGAGAACAAAAAGCACAGTAAAAGTAGACCATACAAGCTTCAGAAGATATGGACTATGGCACACAGGCACTACAGACTTTTTTATTTGTTGTTTTGCTTGTGGAACTTGACAGAAATTAAAGGGGTCCTATTATGTTCTTTTACAAAGTCTTGATTTTGTTTTGGGGGGTGTACTAGAACAGGCTCTCATACTAGGTTGTTCGAAAAACACATTATTTTTCACATATTTTACATTACAACACCTCTCTCCCCAGTCTGGTATGAACGGCTGGAATAGTTCCTGTATCAAATGAAGGCCCGCCTTCTGAAATACTAAATGTGCTGTGATTGGTTAGCTGGGCCAGTGTGTGTTTTTTAAAAAAGTGACGTGACATGTGGCCAAGTATGGTGACCCATACTAGGAATTAGTGCTCTGCATTTATCCCATCCAAAGTGCACACACACACCGTGAACACACACCCGGAGCAGTGTTGTGATTGGCAGCACTCGGCGCCTGGTCAGGAAATGTCATGCCCCTTACCATAGCCGTCTGCGAACTTCAGTGTAAATATTGCGTCAAAATCAAATAAATTTGAGCGCAATTTAAGCCTGGATGATTGTAACCACTCTGTTCGTCTGCCTTGGGAAAGCTAGCGTGTCTCCGACACAGTGATAACACTCGTTGCCTTCTCTAGTGCAGCTCAACCAGGTCTCGTCCCATTCGTCGATATTTGTGATATCACAAATCCTGGAAAATATGCGTTGTAGTCCAAACGAGTCGTTTGTTGTAGTTTTTGAAAAGTGATTTCTGTTAAATAAAATATCTCCTTTTGAAGTGGAGTTTGAGCTTTGTAACTTTGCAGATCTTTTTAATGCTCAAACAGCAACATTTCAGACTAACTAAAGTTGAAAAAGTGAAAAAGTATAATAGCACCCCTTTAATTTTGAAGGTCACTATGAACTGTCACTGAAAAAAAAAAGACTGCAAATCTTAAATACTGCACAAAGATACTAGTTGTATGTTCCTCGAAGGAAACAAAAGTATATGAATTTAGAATGACATGAGAGTGAATAAATTATTACAAATCATTTAAGCGATATATTAGGTCATGCTAAATACACTCTTAAAAGATTTCTGAAAGACAAATTATTTAAATTAAATTTATTTTTGGTAAAATTTTTATTCATTTATTTATTTATTATTCTTTTTAGATGTTAAAATATTTAGAAAATCTATATTTTCATTTAATTTTTTTGGGATGTGATAATCTCAAATCAATATTACAAAACATCTATTCCGCCAGAATGATTTTCTTTTTGTTTGTGTGCATTTCTTCCCCCCCCCCATGCTGGGTGTTAATACAGAATCTGTCTTGACTGCAAACAATTGAGAAGCCAGGGTTGTCTCTATCTCCGATGTCGAGCCAATAAACATGGAAATCATGCCTCTGAGCGAAGGCGCACAGTGTTTGTAAAGCAGGGCAATCTGCAGAATGATAGTTCTGCAGAATCTCTCTGTTGGAATATCCAGGGATAGACAGATATGAGATGACAAAAGGAGATACAAAAGTAATAAAATAACCTGTAAGCGGGCGAGCTGGGCTGTCCGCGCCACAATCTTATTGTAAGGGTCAACAATTTTGGTTCTTATCCTAAGAAAGAAAGGAAGGAAAGAGAAATAAAAAATGCATAAATAAAATACTGCAAAGCTGTCTGACTAATTGGTGCTTGCAATTTTCAGTTTATAGCACAAATAGCACATTTTCTGATATCTATTAATCATACATGTGATTTCCATGATTTTTTTAAAACACGGATCATTTCAATGCCTTCAATGGAGTCATTTACCTGTCCACAGCACTCTGGAGAGCTGCAATTCTGGTCTGCATCATTTGTAAGACACCTAGAAGCAAAAACACCCATAATTTCCATGCTCAGAATGAGCTGAACTACATCCACTGTGCAAGAATTTGAGATGTGACAAGGGATCCCCCTGGTGGACAGCTGCTGAAACTGCGCGTACATTCAATTCCATTCACATTTATTTGTATAGCGCTTTCCACAATACATATCATTTCAAAGCAGCTTCACAGAAAACGCATTTTTCTACATTACAGTTAATTACAATCTGTTATCAGAAGTGACTGTGTCAAAGTAATGTCCATGCATACAAATGATGCAGCTGGTTAACGTCACATAATCATTTAAGCAAAAACAATGAATGCATTAAAGCTTTGATTACATGTTGTGATCATAATGATTGCAATATAAAGAAAATTTGGCAGTTTTGTATGCTGATTTAAAGTTGGCATCATCTGAAGTCATTCCAATTCATCAGAGTGATTTAATGTTAATTTTTAATGATAATTATTTTTCTTAGATTATAAAGCTGAGACAACTATAGGCCTGAAAACTGAGGAAAACTATTTGTAAATGTACTAGAAGGGGGAAAAGTTGCACACTGCATCTTCTATATATGTCATCTCAGAATATTTCAAATGTCATTTTTATATGCTTGTGAAATAACCATTTCCTACAACTTCAAATGAGATTTGAAAATTGGATTTGAAACTAATATTATTAGATCACATAATAAACTGAATGCAAGTGATGATTGTGAGCTTAAATTGTAAAGCAGATAATGAAGTATTACCTTCAAGAGATTCGATCCCTGTTGCCTGAGCTAGTAGATCCTCATGTCTAGCCACTACCTGTGATCAAAAACAACACAAAATATTGGTATGCAATTTATAATGCGTGTTATAATTGGTAGTTTTTTTAATGTTCATGTAGTTTCCAGTGCTTAGAGATGACCTTTAAAGCATTAAGGTGCTTTCTAACTTTCTGAGCATGATGCTAGCATGGATCTGCACTGAACGCAGCTCATCCTGACAGGTGTGACTCACCTGGCAGTGCAGCTCTTTGTCCAGCTGACTGATGCCCTCTGCCAGCTTTGCCAGCTGCTCTGCAATGACAGCATGATGAATGGCTTGAGCTGTGTATGTCTTCACATCGAAATCCTCTTTAAGGAAATCAGTGTAGCACTCTGGAAGGAAAAGGATCAGGATTTGTTTACCTGCCTGGAGATCCAGTGTTCTGACGATTTGTGCTACCCTGTCAGATTTTGCTACCTCCCATTACAACAGATGGTAGCATAATTCCTTTGCGAAAAGTGCTACATATCAGATTTTGCTTCCAGCATGATATTAATAAGGCGTGAGGCTTTATTAACATGTACACCTACCCCAACCCCAAACCTACCCTTACAGTAGGATAAATACAGTGTTGGTAGCATAATCTGATAGGTAGCATTATTTGTCAGAACACCTGCTACATTACAATACACAGGGTATGTGTGTTACTGTGCTATTACTGCAGCTAAAGGCGCCGATCGAGATGATTAATCAGCCTGGTTAACGTACAAACACATGCACACATACAATTCAAAAAGAGAAATCCTATTAAAGCTGGATTTACCATCTTTCAGCAGTGAATCCGCTGTTGATTCCAGACTAGCCTCCATCATTGCCACTTCATCGGTGACGTACAATCCCTGCGTCACAGCATGAATGGAGAGCAACGGCGATTGGTCATGAATATTAATTAGTTTTACTGACGTCACGTCATTATAAATTCGCGAACGGACACGATTTTATGCTAATGTTAATTTAACTCATTTTAGAAAGTTTTCTCACGTATTCTGTTCAATTATGTAAATTAGTTATCACATTATCAATGTAAATAAATACGAATTTCGTTTCTTGAGGATGCGAGGTCAAAGGTTAAACACACCCACCAACACCGAGACAGGAAGTGAGAAGCTACGCATGTGAATCTCATGAAGCTGGTTGTATCCACGCGTGTTTTATTCTTAATGTTTACTATTCACAACTCGCTTTTTTAACGAAATACATGCGTCCTGTTTGTAATAAAAATGGAATACATTTTAATACGGAATTTAATATTGAGTATTTGAACCGCACGCTTTTCCAATGACTTCTTAGAACTGTAAATTGTGGCAATCATGACAGAGGTGCACAGTGAAATCCCAGTGGACGCGGACAGTGGGAATATCATGGACCTGTTTCACAGGGGAAGGCCAGTCAGAGCGTACTCGAAGTAAGAGACAACACTGAACTGATTCCTGTAATGTAGGCGGATGTTGAATGTGTTGTGCTGATACGAATGGTCTTCTGCGTTTATTCCTGATTTTTCAGGTTGGCTTTCAGATGTTTGGTGAGGAAATATGACTGATGTGTGTTTCACCCCAATGATCATTGCAGCTGATTTCATGCGCTCTGCAAAAGCTAGAGACAGTGAATTCACCACCAATAAGAGTAAGCTTTTTCAACTAGTTGTCCTCTAAGCCAGTGGTTCTCAACTGGTTTGACTTTATTTTATATCGTACATCAAAATTGTCATGCTGTATTAAAGTAATTTATCATACAAAAGTAAACAAAACATGTATTTATTTAGAAATAAATTATTAATCAATTAATTACCATTTTCATATGATCATCACAAACAAATATTCCATAAAATATTCTACAAGAATGTTTTTATTTTTGTTTGTGCGCATTTCTTTTCTGGGGGGTTTATTACAGTATTACAGCATGGCATTGTTTAAACAGAAAAAATTTATAATTTTGGTAATGCATAAAAATTGCCAGCTTAACATATGCAAAAACAGTTGGCCAGATATTATTATTAACTATATAATCAAGTGACAGTAGAATCTATGCTAAAATAACTACGTTTGAGCATGCAAACTTTAACATTAACTGCAAGAATTAAGTATTTATTTAATTTTGCATTATTATATGCATGTATTGTCCCTGCTGTCTGCAACAAGATTATTTCAGCTAAAAAACTCTGCTCTAGGTGTAGTGAAAGTAGACAAATGGAAATCTAACAGACCTAGCTGAACCACTGCAATATTAGCGAACCTTTTCAAATATAATTTGTTTTACACACACACACAGTTTGAGCATGCAAACTTTAACATTAACTGCAAGAATTAAGTATTTATTTAATTTTGCATTATTATATGCATGTATTTTCCCTGCTGTCTGCAACAAGATTATTTCAGCTAAAAAACTCTGCTCTAGGTGTAGTGAAAGTAGACAAATGGAAATCTAACAGACCTAGCTGAACCACTGCGATATTAGCGAACCTTTTCAAATATAATTTGTTTTACACACACACACACAAATCATTAAACAGTGGAAACCATGCATCATGCATATGTTGCTGCACAGTATTAACATTTTCAGCTATTTTCCATAATCTTTTCCAGACAGGAATACATTTAATTGTCTGAATATTTTATTGGTGTAAAATTATCCTGTTTTCTCATAAACTCGTATTTGACCTCAGTGAGACTAATTTAATGCAAGGCAATCTTTTACTTTGCATTGAATCACTTGCACAGCTTTCTGCTCAATAATTACAAATGACATTTGTTTGCTTCTTAGCTGACAGGCCCTTGATCGTCCAGTTTGCTGCAAAGGATGCACAGACCCTGGCAGAAAATGTGTGCAAATATTTACCCTGAATGACAGTTGACACAAGATTTTTAAAGCAGTGTATTAAACATGGGTTGTGGGTTGACTTTCTCAACATATATGTCAAAAAATTGCTGTGCAGGGCCAGATGTAATCTGCTGAATGTTTTGTGCATTTTTCAGTCTGAATTTAATTCAAAGCGTGGATTTAACTGTGTTAAATGGAGACAAGGGTACTAAACTTAAATTGTAATCAAATTACCCAAAATAATTAATAAACAAACACAGTAGGGGTGAAAAAATGTCAGATTTTGTAATCGACAGGTGGTTTCATTCTATTGAAGTTTGAACATTTTCTGCACAGATTGCATTTGTAGCATCTGCAAATTTCTCTGGATTTCGTTGCAGGTGGGCCGTGTCTGAAGGCTATGGTGCGTGTCTGATTAACAAACCTGAGCTAGTGAAAGACATGGTTGGACATGTCCGAAACCAAATCGATAATCCCAACTATGCAGTATCCATTAAAATAAGGTGGTGTGATTTCTTGACTTTAAAATGTGCTCATGACAAGGAGTATTCAGGGTTGCAGTGCACTTACAGGTGAAGTCAAAGTGACACAACATTACAGAGATTTACATGCAGAAAATATGAAATATGAAGCTTGTATTTTTATTAGAAAACTTTTTATTTTTTTTTTAAATTTAATTTGAAAGTTATTGAAATTGTTGGACAATTGGACTATCAATAAATTAATGTAAATAAAATGTGTTTTAAACACTGTTTAGAGATGTCATCACAGCATATAACTATATATACTATATAACAGCTGTTTATATAAAGTTGGTTATTAAAGTATGTCCAACTTTATCTGCAGCGTATACTGTACAGTATACTCGTGTGTGTGTATATATATATATATATATATATATATACATACACACATTATGATATTCTGTAAAGCTGCTTTGAAATATGTATAGTGAAAAGCACTATATATAAATAAATGTGATTTGTCCTCAGAATTCACAAGGATATCAGGAAGACAGTGGATCTCTGTCAGAAGGAGGAGGCAGCAGGAGTCTCCTGGATTACAGTTCACGGTCGTACAGCTGACGAGAGGCACCAGCCTGTTCACTATGACGCCATTAAGACCATCAAGGACAGTCTTTCCATCCCGGCCATCGCTAACGGTGACATCAAGAGCATGCAGGACGTGGAGGCCATCTGTGAGCTCACAGGGGTGGACGGTGCGTGTCATTTAATCGCCATCTGATTTCATTTCTCTTGTTGTTTTTGCTGTTTTTGTGTCTGATATTTTTGGACTTCTGCAGGTGTGATGGCTGCTCGGGGATTGCTGACCAATCCTGCCATGTTTGCCGGGTACGAGGAGACCCCGCTGCAGTGTGTGTGGGACTGGGTGGACATCGCTGTGGAACACGGGACCCCGTTCACCTGTTCCCACCATCACCTGATTTACATGCTGGAGCGCATCAGCTCTCAGCCCGAGAGGAGGGTGTTCAATAATCTATCCAGTACGTCTGCCGTCATTGACTTCCTTCACAGTACATACGGCTCCACATAGTTGTTTTTAATGAATGCATTGTTTTATAAGTTATAATAAAGGCACAAATAAAAAAATATCTGAATATGTATGCTGTTTAATGCTGGAAAATTAATATAATTGAAAAAATATGAATTCATTCAAAAATAATTGTTAAATAGTTTGTTACAGGGGTCAAATGATGCATTTCTAAATCATTTTATATATATTTCATATATAAAAATAATCTTTTTTTGTCATTTGAACCTCTTTTACCTAATGTATTTACTTGAAGCACTCCTGTACGGTGGCCGAGAGAGCTCAACGCGCTGCAACTTAAGAAAACACATGCAAATTGAAAAAACACCAGCAAATTAAGAAAACATCTTCATCAGTTTGACAACACACGCGCTGCAAATCCTCACAACACATGCAAATGAAGAAACGCTGCAAATCCTCACAACACATGCAAATGAAGAAACGCTGCAAATCCTCACAACACATGCAAATGAAGAAAATAATGTATTTACTTGAAGCACTCCTGAGATTTTAAAATAAATATTTTAATAATTATCTATCACATTTGCATGTTCATGGGTTTCTAACGTTGGTTAATGTTCACATGGCATGCAGGTAAACAAATGAAATAGTTCATTTTTTAGTAAGTGTTTTATTTTGATCAATGGTATTTTAAAATTATTAGAATTATTTTAATTTTACATGTTCGTGATTTAATTAATTATTAGCTTTTCATTAAACTCACATACCCCCCTGCAGTTCCTTCACAGACACCAGTTTGGGAAACCTTGACATAATGTAATGTTTAATGCACTTCATGTTATTAATAGCAATGAATGGAATATATTTTCTTACTCTTTGTATTTTTATATCAATATGGTAAAAGATTACCCTATTTAAATCAATGTCAATGTCAAAAGTAATCAAAAAGTAGTTATATATATATATATTGAAGTTTATAAATTTATATATATATATATATATATATATATGTGTGTGTGTGTGTGTGTGTGTGTGTGTATATATACATGTGGATGTGAAATAATTTAGATTTTGGATGTGAAATAGTACCAGCACTTCACTGTTGAATGCTGTTTGCTTCAATAAAGTTTATTATTTAGTCTATTGCATAATGCAAGGTTCTTGATGGCTCCAACCCAAATCAAATGCAAACTTTTGAATTGTGTTTGAAACATATTAGGCCTGCATTCATGGGACTGGTGCAGGAGCTTGGCTGGTAGCTCAGTGGTGAAGCACATGGTCCTAAAACCAGAGTGGGTGTTGTTGGTTCAAGTCCTGGATCGGATGTGTTATTTAGATCAAATGTTTATTTCCTATTGCTTATCGTTTTCCAAGGTGAACAATTTCCTCCTGCTCCACAGAGCTGTGTTTAATAAGATACTGTATGAAGTAATGGCACTGCAGTGCGGGTTTCCTCCGCTCCACGAGGCGGCGCACGCGGGCTTCACCTTCAGTCTGAGTCTCACCTCCTCGGCTGTTTGACAACAGGACGCTTGATGACAGCCACAACAACATCACGCTAAACTCCTGCAGATTATTTGCTTGTTAAAGCTCTAAATGTCACTAAACCGCACATATTTCAGCTCAGCTGCAAACGAAACCAACACACTGTGGGATAAAACGCTGGAATCGAGTGTCATGCGCCTCACCTGTAAGTAACTTATGTGAACTTCTATGGTCTTGCACAATTGCACTATATAATAGTAGTTATGTTTCATATAAGTCATTGTGTCAGTTTATATGTGTGTATTTAAGATATTTCATAGCAGAGCACCTTTGTCAGTTCAATTAGATTAATGCATTTCATGTGTCTCACTACAAAGGTAACACACTTGGACTAAAAACCTCAAAATCATAAATGTTGATGAGGTCTTTAGCTTAAAAGCACGTTGTTTAAAAAAGATGCTTGTTACTGGACAGCTATGTGTTCAGACAGGTGGTGTAGTATTACTGGAGTGACACTTAGATTGTGCTTGTTTTTTTCTTCACTAAATCTATAATTCAGTGATGTAGACCACTAAAAACAGTGGATAAACAAGTTAATGCAAATTGTGTTTAAACATTATATATATTAAATATTTTTTAAACCCAATGTGTTCATGTATACACACATTTATTTAGTTAAAAACGTCTAAACTCTGGAGAAAAGTGCCATGAACCAAAATATTATTGCTACAGCATTACTGAAGAATAATATACGCTGCAATATTTTTTTTTTTTACACTGCACAGGTTTAGGAATCCAGTTTATGTTGTCAATTTACATGAATAAACTCTTAATTTTAAATAAGCAGTGTGTCTTATAATATTATCTTCATGTGTGTCTTGTGTCTCCAGAGTAAGTGCTGTGCTGTGGATTGTAAAGCAGAGCTCTGGGACGTGTGGACAGACAGAGACTGTAATGATGGACATCTGCTCGTGGACAGGTGATGTATCTCATGTGTGAATGTGTTCTAGTGCACTAAACATGTAGGTTACCAGCATTTTCTTTTTGAGGGGCCTTCCTTTGAAAAGCAAATGACGGTAACCTAAGTAGGTGGGGAAGGGACGGGGGACAAACACTTTATACACTTTTATTTTTATTTTCCAGTCTGTCTAAAAGCATAACCGCTGCTGGTCGCGGCGCCGGACGCTCCAGAGGGAGACCGTACTGGTATCCCCCTTCTTCAGGCGCGCCTTCACACTCACTCCAGCATTCACTCATATCGCAGAGACCCGGCTGGGATCAAACCAGCAACCTCTGAACCCGTGAGGCAGCGCTCTTACCAGTGAGCCACAGGTCTCTTGTCGAGCTGTGTGAAGGAACTTCTGTTTGACTCTTTACCTGTATGTGACCCGTGTTTCTCCAATAAAGCAGTTAAAGTGTGTGGGATCTGAACCCGTGTCTCCAGCACAGCCGTGTCTTCAGACACGTGTGTTTATCCACTGAACCAGCACAGACTTCACATTCATTTCTGGAGTTTGAGTGGTTTTGTTGGATGAGATCAATGTAAAGTAAGCAATAGTGGGATCTGAACTCAGATCTTCATGATTGAAACACAGCGCTTGATCTCCTGTGCCTCTGAGTCTGTGGAGCTGCTGAAGGTTTTAAACAGGGTTTTATTGAGAGATCTGTGTTAAACGATGCATGACTTTGTCTGTTGTAGGATTTGAACCCATACTTTTGTGTTTGAAGACTTTAACCACAGCTGTGATGTTTTGTTGTGTTTGTTTCTGATCTCTTAGATTTCAGATTTACCGTACCAGAAGTTTAGTCTGAGTAAAAGACAACCACTTCACTTTTAGGATTTGATCTCATGTCTTTGTTGCAATTTTAAGAATAACGTGTTTAACCACTGTTCTACTGGATTTCAGCGCAAATGAGCGGTTTACTATCTTTCCAAGTGTTTGCAAACTCTGTGCTTGATTGTAAATGATACAAGAAACTTCAACACTTGCTTGATTTGAATCAGTAATTTTATTTCAAAAGGTGAACAATTATCCTCTGTACCACAGAGACTGCACTGAACTCAGGGTTGTTTTTGGTCTTTTACATGAGCATTTATTATTATCGGTTTACTTTTTTTTTTAAACCTCAAGGCTGTGCTTTTTACGTAACAAAATGTTTATGGTCATTCATCATTGTGGAAAAATACCCAATTACTCTTGTGCCACAGCAGAGCACAACTCTAAACAGTCCATTAGACTCGATCTGCAGCGCTGCAGTTCACAAACTCACCGCAGGAGGTCGACACACTGCAGTTCACTACAACGGCAGAACACTTCAAACAGTCCCTCCTGTGCTGAGTTTTGTGAATTACAGCACTGCAGATCAAGTCTAACGAACAAATGGGAATAAGTTCAGCTCTCTGTTCTTGTTCAAATACATTTATATACAAAAATTCAGCTCCACAGAGCTTGTATACATACGTATATGAAGTAACTTCGGCTTGGGCTGGATAAAACATGCTCACAGCATCTGTGGGATTTAAACATGTTTCTGTCGAAGCTTCGTGATTTAAAGTCTCGAATGTGATCTTGGCACTAGAACACGAACAGTAGAATGCTAAAAACTAAAGTGCAGTTTTCCTCCGCTCCACTGGGCGGCGCAAGCGGGGTTCAGCTTCGGCTGCTTGAAGACGCTCGAGTCACAACAACACGCGCAGCTCCTGCAGATGACCGCTGTTTATATCGCTTCAACAGCACATATTTCAGCTCAGCTGCAACTGAAATCCGATGAAACGCTGGACCCGAGTGTCAAGCGACTCACCTGTAAGTAACTTTCCGCTTAAAGCCAATCTCTCTCGTTAAATGACTTGTACGCGCTGTACGCGGTTGTTGTTGCGGTTCTTTTATAATCTCTGAACGAATCGCCCTCTGATAGCGACATTATGAGTGTAATAATGAGGAATCGCGCTGTTTGTGTCTGTGGACACTGGATTGATGTTAGAGTCCGCTGTTGTTGTGTGTCGCTGATGTTCTGCTGCTGCCTCCTGCATCTCTTCTTCTTCTGCTGCTTCTGACTGCCTTCACTGGCGCTAACTCTCGCGAGACAAATAAGCAACCGAAGCTCCCAAAACAAGCCCAATATTTGTTGATGATTTATTATCATCAGTATTATTTATTACCAATAAATGAGCCTGCGGCATATTAAACTGAAACTACTCTTTATCTAAAAAGTAAAAACAGAAGTTATTACTAGTAATAACTATATAGTTAGAGTAGAGCGAAGCCATTCAAATACTATTTTATTTTTAACATATGTAGTAATATTACAAGTATGCAGCAATAAGCTACATTTGTTGTAAGAGCAGTTTATAGTCAGTGACTGGACACTTTCGATGGGTTTCTGTAATCTTATTCTGATGTTTTGTTGATAGTTTTTTCTGTTAAGTGTTTTTATAGTTTCATAGTTATTTATTAATAACATCATCAGAATGAAACTGAGACAAACAGTAGATTGAATCACAGCATTAACTGAAGTATAACAAGAGTCTGCAGTGTTTTATAAATATGCAGCTTTAATACATTTCTCTATGAACAACTTTTAGATTAGATATGAAATATGTCTAATATTATCTTCATGTGTGTCTTGTGTCTCCAGAGTAAGTGCTGTGCTGTGGATTGTAAAGCAGAGCTCTGGGACGTGTGGACAGACAGAGACTGTAATGATGCTCATCTGCTCGTGGACAGGTGATGTATCTCATGTGTGAATGTGTTCTAGTGCACTAAACATGTAGGTTACCAGCATTTTCTTTTTGAGGGGCCTTCCTTTGAAAAGCAAATGACGGTAACCTAAGTAGGTGGGGAAGGGACGGGGGACAAACACTTTATTTTTACACTTTTGTTTTTATTTTCCAGTCTGTCTAAAAGCATAACCGCTGCTGGTCACGGCGCCGGACGCTCCAGAGGGAGACCGTACTGGTATCCCCCTTCTTCAGGCGCGCCTTCACACTCACTCCAGCATTCACTCATATCACAGAGACCCGGCTGGGATCGAACCAGCAACCTCTGAACCCGTGAGGCAGCGCTCTTACCAGTGAGCCACAGGTCTCTTGTCGAGCTGTGTGAAGGAACTTCTGTTTGACTCTTTACCTGTATGTGACCCGTGTTTCTCCAATAAAGCAGTTAAAGTGTGTGGGATCTGAACCCGCGTCTCCAGCACAGCCGTGTCTTCAGACACGTGTGTTTATCCACTGAACCAGCACAGACTTCACATTCATTTCTGGAGTTTGAGTGGTTTTGTTGGATGAGATCAATGTAAAGTAAGCAATAGTGGGATCTGAACTCAGATCTTCATGATTGAAACACAGCGCTTGATCTCCTGTGCCTCTGAGTCTGTGGAGCTGCTGAAGGTTTTAAACAGGGTTTTATTGAGAGATCTGTGTTAAACGATGCATGACTTTGTCTGTTGTAGGATTTGAACCCAGACTTTTGCGTTTGAGATTGAAATGTTTAACCACTGAGCATGTGGAAAGCAGTGGTTTAGATTTAGACTAATCAAAATGTGGTGATTGTAGGATTTGAACTCATCTTTGTCACAGCTTCAAGACTGAAAGTCGTGTGTTCAGCTACTGCACCACCGAGATTCTGACAAACACTGTGGTTTTCCTTTTGTCTTGTTCGTTGTTTAAACCTCGTAAACACGAACAATGATCTCTGTACCACAGCTTGTGCTGAACTTTTGTAGTTTAAACCTAACACCTTTTGTCTGTTAAATAGTAAAATATTTATATTTTAATAGTTGTCACCGTCATTGTGTAAGTTACAGTCATTGATAGTCACGGCAAGTATTTTTAATTTAAAATACAGGACTGTTATTTGGCTAAACCATAATAGTTGTTTAAACTATTTTTGGGTACGTGGATTGTAAAGCAGCGCTCTGGGACGTGTGGACAGACAGAGACTGTAATGATGCTCATCTGCTCGTGGACAGGTGATGTATCTCATGTGTGAATGTGTTCTAGTGCACTAAACATGTAGGTTACCAGCATTTTCTTTTTGAGGGGCCTTCCTTTGAAAAGCAAATGACGGTAACCTAAGTAGGTGGGGAAGGGACGGGGGACAAACACTTTATACACTTTTATTTTTATTTTCCAGTCTGTCTAAAAGCATAACCGCTGCTGGTCGCGGCGCCGGACGCTCCAGAGGGAGACCGTACTGGTATCCCCCTTCTTCAGGCGCACCTTCACACTCACTCATATCGCAGAGACCCGGCTGGGATCAAACCAGCAACCTCTGAACCCGTGAGGCAGCGCTCTTACCAGTGAGCCACAGGTCTCTTGTCGAGCTGTGTGAAGGAACTTCTGTTTGACTCTTTACCTGTATGTGACCCGTGTTTCTCCAATAAAGCAGTTAAAGTGTGTGGGATCTGAACCCGCGTCTCCAGCACAGCCGTGTCTTCAGACACGTGTGTTTATCCACTGAACCAGCACAGACTTCACATTCATTTCTGGAGTTTGAGTGGTTTTGTTGGATGAGATCAATGTAAAGTAAGCAATAGTGGGATCTGAACTCAGATCTTCATGATTGAAACACAGCGCTTGATCTCCTGTGCCTCTGAGTCTGTGGAGCTGCTGAAGGTTTTAAACAGGGTTTTATTGAGAGATCTGTGTTAAACGATGCATGACTTTGTCTGTTGTAGGATTTGAACCCAGACTTTTGCGTTTGAGATTGAAATGTTTAACCACTGAGCATGTGGAAAGCAGTGGTTTAGATTTAGACTAATCAAAATGTGGTGATTGTAGGATTTGAACTCATCTTTGTCACAGCTTCAAGACTGAAAGTCGTGTGTTCAGCTACTGCACCACCGAGATTCTGACAAACACTGTGGTTTTCCTTTTGTCTTGTTCGTTGTTTAAACCTCGTAAACACGAACAATGATCTCTGTACCACAGCTTGTGCTGAACTTTTGTAGTTTAAACCTAACACCTTTTGTCTGTTAAATAGTAAAATATTTATATTTTAATAGTTGTCACCGTCATTGTGTAAGTTACAGTCATTGATAGTCACGGCAAGTATTTTTAATTTAAAATACAGGACTGTTATTTGGCTAAACCATAATAGTTGTTTAAACTATTTTTGGGTACTTTTTTTAATGTGATTATATCTTATTTTAAGCAAACCACTGTTCAAGTAAGTTATCATACCCTCTTGTGGTGATTTTACAAATTTATACAAGTTCAAATAAAATTTAATAGCTTTAAGGCACTATGCTTCTCCAAGAGGATGAGAGCAGAAGAGCATACCCATAATGCATTGCAATATGAAAAGCCAATCAAAACTAATCACAATCAAGCTCCAAGTGCTTTTTATGAACTGCACAGCTATAATTCCAGCCTAACGATCCTAAAGATCTGCTATACTTCTGCAAGAGGGTGAGAGCAGAAGAACATTTGCGTTGCAGGAACAGCCAATCAGAGCTACTTACACTGTCCTCTCTTCTGTTCAAAGTAAATAAATAAATGATGAATAGACCTAAATGTATTTGTAAAAAAAGATTTTGTGAATAACAACACACAGCAAATCGAGTCTGATGAATTCTCATTTCTGTGAATTACACTACTGCAAATACATTTCAGTTTGAAGATTTATTTTTTATTTTTTAAATACAATATTGCTACAGTGTTACACACAAAACAAGTAACGACAATTAAAAGAAATAATTTAACAAAAACAAACAACTATAAAAATTTTATTAAAATAAGGCTTTGAGTAATTAATAAAAAATAAGATTAAAAATATTAAATATAATAAAGTCTAAAAAGACTAAACGGGTTGTGCCCGGCTGTGGTGTTTTGTGTGTGTGTGAATTTCAGTGCTGCAAATCAACTTAAATTTAAACTACTTTATTGGCATGCTTGTTTACGTACAATATTGGCAAAGCATTATACACAAAATATGTATTAAAATAATAATAATAATACAAATATATATTGTTATGCTTAAAAAAATTCTGTTTAATTCTAAATAAATTAAATTGGTTTTGCCCTCTTGTGGTGATTTGGGTTAATTACAGCAGTTTAAACCTAGTCTAATGAACTCAAACTTGTTGCGCCCTCCTGTGGTGGTTTTTGTGAATTACAGCACTTTAAATCGAGTCTAATGAACTCATCTGCGCTGCGGTCTGATAATTGCACTATACTTCTAAATACTGTTATTATATGTTTTGTGTGGTAAAAGCATGAGACAGATGCTTCCTGCTAATAAACATTGTGTCAAAGTGTGTAACTGGAAGAAGCAGGTGAAATGTCATTGAACAAGACCTTTGATCCAGGCATAATGCCACAAGTAGATTATCTGAGAGGAATAACAGCTTTGATTAGTAAGGCTTGAATTGTTTTTTCCCCATCTGGTACATCATTACCTAATCGTGTAAGTGTATAAAAGACTAACACATTTTTGTTTCTTTATTACTTCTTTTGTCATACAGCTGATACAAAATGACATTGCAGTGGAGTGCGGTTGCATCATTCTTGTATGTGGAGATTGGTGTTCTGGTCATCCTATGTCTGCCTTTCATCTCCGCTCAAAGGTACAATGTTCCCTTGTAATTCACTTGTGCTCGCTGTTGTCCACTTGCTCTTACTGACATCCATGTTTGCAGATGGCAGAGTATTTTCAAATGGAGCATCTGGAACCATCTTTCCCAGTTCTGGAACAAGGGCTTTCTCACCATGATAATAATCCTCATCGTTCTCTTCCTAGGTATGTCATTTTCTTGTTTTATTGCCTTGTCTTAAAGGAATAGTTCACCCAAAACTGAAAATTTGCTGATAATGTCTTCACCCTCAGGCCATCCAAGATGTAGATAAGTGTTTCTTCATCAGATTTGGAGAAATGTAGCATTCCATCACTTACTCAGCAATGGGTCCTCTGCAGTGAATGGGTGCCGTCAGAATGAGAGTCCAAACAGCTGATAAAAACATCACAACAATCCACAAGTAATCCACACCACTCCAGTCCACCAGTTAACATCTTGTGAAGACAAAAGCTGTGTTCGTAAGAAACAAATCCATCAAGACGTTTTTTAATTTCAAACCTTCACTTCTGGCCAAAATATAATTCCATAATCCATGATAACATTCCTCCAGTGAAAAGGTCCATCTCCTGTTGTCTCTCAGATCAAAATCCAGCCACATATTTGTTTAGAGCTGTTTTGGCTTGTTAACAGTGCTGGATCTGTGCAGATTTCTCTCCTGATTCAGATGAGATTACTTTTTCACTGGAGGAAGCAATGCTATGGATAGAGAACTTATATTTTAGCTGAAAACGATAGTTTGAAGATAAAAATGTCTCAACGATGGATTTGTTTCTTACAAACACGCAGCTTTTGGCTTCTCAAGACATTAACTGATGAACTGGAGCGGTGTGGATTACTTGTGGATTATTGTGATGTTTTTATCAGCTGTTTGGACTCTCATTCTGACGGCACCCGTTCACTGCAGAGGACCCATTGCTGAGTAAGTGATGCAATGCTGCATTTCTCCAAATCTGATGAAGAAACAAACTCATCTACATCTTGGATGGCCTGAGGGTGGATAAATTTAGATTGGAAATGACCCAAATTTGTGTTGTAACCTGCTGCAGATGCCCTGCGTGAGGTGAGGAAGTACTCAAATGCTGACCAGAGCAAAGACGCCAAACTGCACCCCAACATGTTTGACCACATGCACATGAAGCTCTTCCGAGCCCAGAGGAACCTCTACATCTCTGGTTTCTCACTCTTCCTGTGGCTGTACGCATTCATCGTCATCAATGACATCGCCCGTTGGCAGTGTGTCTTGTGGTATTGAACTCTGGTGCTGTTTTCTCACAGTGTCATGAGGAGAGTCATCACTCTGATTAACCAGTTGGCCACGGCCGTGGGCACCAGCGCCGCTCTGCAGACTCAGGCTGAAAGCGCCAACAAAGCTGCCAAGAAATACATGGAGGACAATGAGATGCTCAAACAGGTTAAAAGCCTTAAAAAAGCTGGAATCCCATGAAACCTGCAACACATTTCACCCCAAAATTAAGGGACAGTTTTATAGAAATCACATTTTCAATTAATAATGTTATTTTCATGCATAAGATAACTATTTTCTTCTTTCGATTTTGGGTTGAAATATGACCTAAATCATATGTCATGAAAATAATGCAAAGAAGTTTGTACGCTGGAATCCCATGAAACCTGCAACACATTTCACCCCAAAATTAAGGAACAGTTTTATAGAAATCACATTTTCAATTAATAATGTTATTTTCATGAAGATAATGCAAAAAAGCTTTTATTTTCATGCATAAGATAACTATTTTCTTCTTTCGATTTTGGGTTGAAATATGACCTAAATCATATGTCATGAAAATAATGCAAAGAAGTTTGTACTTAAATGAAACCTGCACCAAATTTCACCTCAGAATCAAAAGACAGAAATAACAAATAATATTTTTAATTAAGCATTTAATTTTTATGAAAATAATGCAAAATGTTTTCATATTATAATTTCTTTCTGTTGGGGTGAAATATGACCTGGACATACACTTTTTACAGCAGTCACACATCTCTATAATGTTATCCAAGTGATAAACATGGATGAGAAGGAATAAAAGTAATATTTTCAATTAAGAATTTAATTGTCATGATATAATTTTTACTTGATTTACTTGAATCAATGAAACCCGCACCACATTTTACCCAAAAATAAAGAAAACCATTTTCAATTAATGTCATGAAATGTCATGAAAATAATACAAAATAGTTTTATTTTTTGCCAATTTTGGGGTAAAATACAACTTGATAAATATGATCAAGTTATAATCCTGGTTGAGGAGGAATAGAATGAATTGTAGTGTTTGAGGAACTGGTGTCCTTAAAGTCCCTTTAGTAATAGAAGAACAAACTGTTGTCATCCTCAGGCACTTACAGACAGTAAAGGAGAAGGAGGGAAGACACAAGATCCAGAAGAGAACAAACTGCTGGAGAGAGAGGTGCAGAGACTGACGGAGGAGCTCAAGAGCAGCACAGATGGTGAGCACAAGTCAGACAGACACTCCACACTCATTCTGCTTAACAAATGACCTACAGCTGTTTGCTTTTCTGTAGCTCTGGAAAAGTCTAAGTCAGATTTGGACGCCATGAAGAAACAAACTGAAGGACTGACCAAAGAATATGACCGTCTCCTTCAAGGGCACCAGGAGCTTCAGGTAAAACTCACCTGAATTTCAAACCAACTGTATGATATTACACATGTGCTTAGAAAGTAGCAGTTATTATCATTAATTAAATAAATAAAAATGCAACTGAAAAAAAAACAACAACAACTTTCCTTTAAAGCTGAAGTACTAAAATAACTCAAACTAACTATAAACTATATAAAGATTTATAAAAAAAAAAAAACGTACAAATAAATAATCAAAATTACTACTTTCAAATTAAGGTGAAGACAGAAAATGTAACTAAATATTTAAATATAATTAACAATTAATAAAAACTATATCGACATATTTACAAAAAATGAAAACGACAATATAACTTTCCTTAAAAAACACTTTTAAAGTTGAAGTACTAAACATTAAACATTAAAATAATAAACATTAAAAAGTATAAATAAATCTAATGAACTGTAATATAAAAAAAAAAAATGTTTTAAAAAAAAATCTATTAAACTATTTTATCTCAGTGATACTAAAATAAAGTAGTAGATATTTGAAATCTATATTGTTTTGCATGTTTTAAACAAATACCGTATGGCTACCATGTTTCAAATAATCCCATCAAAATGTTGTAATAAAATAATACAGTAAAAAGATTCATTATAATTTATGAAATCTAGCAGATAGAAATCAAAATACAAATAATAATAATTTAAATCAATGTTAATAAATTACACTTATACTGTAAATGCTAATTAATATTTTGACAAATTATTAAAAAGAGGTTATTTGTTACAGATAAACAGTAAGGAATATAATGTGACCAAGAACAATACAAAATCACATTTACAAATTCACAAAATCACACACTTACAAATTACATAGAGAATCGCTTTTTTCTTGTTTTGTCTTTTTTTTGTTTTAGAATCAGCTGGACAGTGGAGACAAAAAAGACAACTAGGCAAGTGGACGCATTGGAAACCTGTACGTTATTGCACGATAATCACGATCCTCCCACATGCACTCACCACATTAAACATTAAAATAATAAACATTTAAAAAGTATAAAATCTAATGAACTGTAATTTAAAAAAAAAAATGTTTTTAATAAAAAATCTATTAAACTATTTTATCTCAGTGATACTAAAATAAAGTAGTAGATATTTGAAATCTATATTGTTTTGCATGTTTTAAACAAATACCGTATGGCTACCATGTTTCAAATAATCCCATCAAAATGTTGTAATAAAATAATACAGTAAAAAGATTAATTATAATTTATGAAATCTAGCAGATAGAAATCAAAATACAAATAATAATAATTTAAATCAATGTTAATAAATTACACTTATACTGTAAATGCTAATTAATATTTTGACAAATTATTAAAAAGAGGTTATTTGTTACAGATAAACAGTAAGGAATATAATGTGACCAAGAACAATACAAAATCACATTTACAAATTCACAAAATCACACACTTACAAATTACATAGAGAATCGCTTTTTTCTTGTTTTGTCTTTTTTTTGTTTTAGAATCAGCTGGACAGTGGAGACAAAAAAGACAACTAGGCAAGTGGATGCATTGGAAACCTGTACGTTATTGCACGATAATCACGATCCTCCCACATGCACTCACCTGGTAGCTTGACATGCAAACTGTTATGAGTTCTCAGTTCATGACATCACATCCTGTCAGGTTTCCTGCTCGCCACACATCTGATGTAGCAGTTTTCTGGCTTTGATCCCTCTGGTTTTGATGTTAAAGCAGTGCAGCGCTGTATTTTGAGATTGCTGCATAATGCAGCTGTCTGTGAATAGAGCGACTGAAACCCAACACTCATTGATGTGTTTACAGGAAACTGTAGGTTATTTAGTCAAAAAGCTATAGTGACTGATGTTTGCATGTCGCATTGTGATATCCCTCGTATTGCTTTCCTTCTCCTCTGCTCGATTCTTTCCCTTATTTTGTTTAAAAGTGCATATCAAACCAGGTTAGTCATGCAACATCCAGGGACATGCAAACATGAGTCAACTGAAGTACTTTTCCACAGCAATATTTCCATTCATATTTTCCAAAGAAGGACATAATGCAAGCCTATCCAAGATGACATAAATTACAGGCTATGTTAGTTATTTGATCAGCTTTAATTAAGAAGAATAAAACCGTATACACACAAACAACAGGTAAGAAGTAAACGCATCACAATGAGACCATTTATTTCCAGGCTGAGCAAACAGTCTGTTAGCGAGCGGTTAGTGTGTTTGTTCTCGAGTCTGGAGAGGTAGGTCAATTACACCTGAGTTCAAATGCTGTTAGTTGTTAAACGAATGCTGAAATGTGAAATTAAACAGATTTCACAGTCCAATAGAGACAAGTGATCATTTCTTAATTTTGAGTCCATTTGAGGTAGATGGCTTTGTGCTATCGATGCTTAACATTTTTTAATCTTACATAACATGTCCAGGCCATATTTCAACCCCATTTTGTATAAAAGAAAATTAATGTATTAAGTTGTTTTTTTTTTTTTGCATTTTTATTATAATTTAAAAATGTTTATTACTATTAAGCACATTTTTATGGAAACTTGTTTCAGCCATGGGATAAAAATCTTTAAGGTAATTGTGACGTTTTACCTCACAATTCAGACTTTTTTTTTTGTTTCTCAGAATTGCAAGATATAAACTTGCAATTGTGAGAAAAATGTCAGAATTGTGAGAAGTCTCAATTAACTTAAAAAAATTTTTTTAGTCCATTGCAGAAACAAACAATTGTGAGAAAAAGAGCTGCAATATATTTTACGTCTTCAGAGTTTACGTCTCGTTTTTTTTCACAGAATTGCGAGAAAAACAATGCAATTAATATCTCACAGTTACGATGTTTTTCTAGAATATTCAAAACAATGAATTTACAAAAACAAACGTCCAGATGCATTACACTGAAGAGAATTATTAATTTCCTTATATAGCTTGCATTTTTTTTCTTTTGATTGTAGGGTTAAATCTGACCTGGACATGTTTTGGTGAGATTCACTCTGTTATTAGATGAGGGCTGGCTATTTTATGTCATTGTTCACCTATTCTAGTCACAGAATTTTACAATTAAAACTATTTAGACTTGTGTGAAGATTAAAAGACTGTGAAAATTATCCTGTGCTGTAAGACGTTTCTCAGAATTGCAAGATATAAACTTGCAATTGTGAGAAAAATGTCAGAATTGTGAGAAGTCTCAATTAACTTAAAAAAATTTTTTTTAGTCCATTGCAGAAACAAACAATTGTGAGAAAAAGAGCTGCAATATATTTTACATCTTCAGAGTTTACGTCTCGTTTTTTTTCACAGAATTGCGAGAAAAACAATGCAATTAATATCTCACAGTTACGATGTTTTTCTAGAATATTCAAAACATAATGAATTTACAAAAACAAACGTCCAGATGCATTACACTGAAGAGAATGATTAATTTCCTTATATAGCTTGCATTTTTTTCCTTTTGATTGTAGGGTTAAATCTGACCTGGACATGTTTTGGTGAGATTCACTCTGTTATTAGATGAGGGCTGGCTATTTTATGTCATTGTTCACCTATGCTAGTCACAGAATTTTACAATTAAAACTATTTAGACTTGTGTGAAGATTAAAAGACTGTGAAAATTATCCTGTGCTGTAAGACCGATTTCTGTAATAAGATTATAATTTTTTTCATTTAATAAGAATAAGCCGTCACCCACCGTGTGGGTGTTGAAAATCATGCTGTCAGTGCATGTGTCTATGATGCACGAGGCTACCACGCTCACTTCCTCTCCCTCAGACGCAGGAAAATTAGGAGAAAACCAAAAATGTTTTTAGTTGTCATTGCTATGCAAGCTTGTATGGTCGGCTGATTCCCTAAGGATGGAAAACGCTCTGAAATGTCTTATAAGGGGATTGTTTATGGCTTTGCTGTATCGGTATCTTCCTGTCAAATGTGGTCGAATATGCTATTTTATGAATCCTATGTTCTTCTAATGGGTGCAGAAATCACCTGTCTTAAGTGCCTCGTTTACATTCTGCTGTGATTGTATATGCCATTTTCATGATTAAAGCGAAAAACGCTACTGATTGTAGATCTTTCTCGAAATGTAGTAAATCATTCATTTTATTTTTAAAAGAACGTATCTAATATTTCACATAAATGCATTTTTTCACATCACTTTGACGTATACAAAAAAACATTTCAGCAAATAAAATTCTGTACTGCCTAACGGAAAAGCAAGTAATAAATGCCACTTGTTTTATTTGCTTTACAAGTCACTGGTAAAAGTCAGTTGCCCGAAATAAACAAATCTTGCCAAGGACAAAGGGACATTTTTGCCAGCTAAAACCAGACAACGATTTATACAAGTATATAAAATAATAATTATTTGCAAATTTGAGGAACAATTGATTGAATGACCTGAGAATAGACCATGTTGACTTTGCTGCCTTGCACTTTTTTTTTTTTTTTGGCACAGGAATGCCAACCCGTTCACACGTAACAACACGCACATTTCTCACAGTGACATTGCACAACATCGATCATGAAGATGATTACTTACATACCCACGGTGTTCGCACAGTTCTGGCCCATTCCTCGCGTGTTTCTTAAATAGAAGGAACTGCTGTCAGGTGACACTGAAAAGCACAATGGTGAGCGTTTCGTTCCTTCATGACAACACAAATGGGACGCAATGAGAGATATCCAACAACATAGTCAACCTGTAGCCCGCTTAACAAGGCCTAGCTATATTAAGCACACAGTGTCGTGGTCAACTGTTTCAGGCATCTATCTGTGTATGGCAGAAGAGAGAGATACGACAGACGTGATCATGTACCCACAAGGTGTTATCCTTATAGGGCCTGTGCACGACGATGGCTTAAATGAGAGGAAATCCAATGCTTAATTGCCTCTAGTTGGGCGTCTGACGCTTCTAAAAGCATCTTTACGTTAAATCCAAACGAGTTAGGTAGTTTGTAAGACATTCTTCTTTTTTTTTTTTTACCCAAAACATCATGTACATTCAAGAAATAAATGTACTATATCAAAAACAACTTATTTCACCATTTACACGAGTCCGATAGAAAGTGTGGAACAGACGGTGCTTCACGGCCCTGTTGCTCCCTGCGCAGATGTCACAGACGCGTCTCCCGCTCCGGATCGTAATCTGCGGTCTGCCTGCATTGGTCAGAGTTACAGCTGTTGTTTTCTTCTTTCCTGAGGGCCTGCAGTTCACCGGCCGCGGCCCCCGTGCCTCCGTTTGCCAGCGTGTTGCGCTCTTGCCGCCGAACGTGCCGTCGTAACACCACCAGACCGAGAAAGCACAGGAAGAAGGAAGCGGTCCGTAAGCCCAGCGTCAGGCCCAGATATGCTATCCTGAAAATACAGGATAATCAAATGAACACAATTACAAACTTAAACATACCAGGGTTTCTGCGGCTCTTAGGAAGTCTTATATCAGAGCTAAATGTCTTGAAACTCAGGGAATTAAATGTTGCATGCATTGCAAAAAAAGAATATTTTCCTCAATATTTTTTTTCCAATAAACATATCTGAACATCCTTAAATCAAGATACATTTCCTTGAGATACAAATGTAAAATGTATTCGAATATTGTACAAAACTAAGTGAGCTTATGCTTAAAACAAGAACAAATATCTGTCAGTGGGGTATGAAAAAAAAAGTAGTTTTTCAGTTTTTTGTAGTTTTGTTCTTGTTTTAATCATAAACTTACTTCAGTTGGATTCATTTAAAACAAGACTTCATATGTCACTGTTTCTCAAGTGTATCTTGATTTACAAAAATACTACCAAAAAAATAAAAACTACAAAAAAATAAAAATAAATACATAAATACTGAGAACTTTTTTTTGCCATGTGATCAGAAGGTACAGTAAAAGTTATTTCCATAATCTAGAGGTTTGGAGCAGAGCTATTCAAGCTATTAAAGTTTAAACGTTCAAATTAATAAAAAATAATGGAAATAAATAAATATATATATATATACTACACAAGATATGTTTACATGCACTAATTTTTCTAAATGAATCCAACCCGATTTTAGATTCTGAATCTTCTGTTTATATGAACCCTAAATATTGCAATCCGATTAGCATATTCCTTTACATGAGCATTACATGCATTCTAAACAAATCTTTAGCACGTGGCATAATGTCATTTTTGCCTAAAAAGACAGCCAAATGAGCAAATGAGCATGTCAAATGAGCATTTTTTAGCAAAGGCATAACATTCAATCCAGTATTCACTCGCCAGTTTGTGAGATGTGAGACGTAAATTAACATTTATAAAACATAAAATGCATGTAAACATATGCATCATGGCCCAAAGTATTTCTGAATCTGATTGAGAACATTTAGATTCAAGCACTATATTTTTTCCTGTTGATCAGATTATTTCAGGTTTACACCTGAAAATTAATTCAAACCACGTTCATTTGGATCGATTGGGGTGTTTACATGAAGGCTTTTCAGTCTGATTGACAGAAAAAAATTGTTTTAATTTATTTTGAAAAAACATTTTTGATTTAGCAAAAAATACAGTTAGTTGTGTTTCTACTTTGGCTTATTCCAACCCTACACTGCACTGTAGTATGTAAGTGGAGTGTGGTGAGATGAGCTGAATACCTGTAGGCAGTAGTGTTGTAGATTCGACAGGCTCCTCTCCCACCGCATTTCTTCTGACCCCATTTCAGACAGGTGGTGTCTATGATGGCTCCGAAGTATATGGGAGCTGGAATTCCAGCTGTGGAAGACAAAAAACAGCATTCCATCTACTATTGCTTCAAAACAAATCACCATTACCAACGTAACTAAAAAATGATTTAGCAGAGACGTCAGCAGCACCAAACACCAGAGCGTCTCTCACCTAGAGTGCGTGTCGTCAATGTGTGAAAACCCAAAGCTAAAGACTTCAGCTGAGGTCTGATGCATCTGTCGATGAAACCAGAGAAAGAGCAGATTATCTCCTTTCAGAATAATAGAAAAACACGTTTGACAGATGTACTGCTTACGAGATATGGGACATTTAAGATTCTATATCACAAAAATAATGCAAATATAATAAAAAAGGAAATAGATAGAACCAAATATACTACCTACTACGACTACTTCGAATAGATAATCAATATTTAATTAATAAATAATTGCATAGTTTGCATATTGAATAATTGCATAGTGATGTATTTGATTGATATTTTATTTAAATTATTAATTTAATGACTAATAAAATGATTATTTTGCATGTAAAAGGCGTGTAAAAATTTTAATAACCATAATAATAATATATTATCAACCCTATTTTTCGGTTTGTCATAAAATGTATTTATTATGAAAATAAATAGAAAATAGGCTTTTGATTTTGATTTAATATAAAGGCATTTGCAAATCATTCATAAAATATTGCAAAAGTTATTTTTATTTTTACATGCTTGTAAAAAAAGCAGAAATTATATTTTGAAAAAAACTTTTTAAAAATAAC